ATCAAGGGATGTTAAAGGGAGTGTTTCTCAATGGCCTTGAAGAAGAAATTAGCACGGAGCTGAAGTTGTACCGGACCAGTGGGTTAACTGAACTGATGGACAAGGCTTTGTTGTTGGGCAAAAGAACAAGGTGTGGAAAGGAGAAAAAAAATAAAGAAGAAGACAAAAAAGGTCGGAAGGAACAGGGAGGGAAAATGGTTAGACCCTTGAACTGGGTGGAAGCAACAAAGGGAAGAACACTTTCTTTGACTCCGGAGAGAACACATTCAGAGAACAAACGGGAGGAATCACCAAAACCAAATAAGTCATGGGAGGGAGGCCAAAGGTTGACACAACTAGAGTTAGAAGAAAGAAGTAAAAAGGGCTTATGCTTCAAACGTGGAAACAAATGGAGCAAAGAACATGCTTCTGGAATGAAACATTATCAATTCATCTTGATAGAAGAGCCAGAAGAAGAGAAGGGAACAGAAGATCAGCTATATGAACGGGATGAAGCTGAAAACCTGCTGAAACCAAATGCCAAATCAGTCTCTTATCATCCACCTTGAGGACAAGGTGGAAGTTCAAGGGGGAGTGATGTTAGGGACCCGGACACTACTAGTAATTAGAGTCTTATTAAGTAATTTTAATTTTGTTCAATAATAGGGTTTTAGGCCCTATAACTAAATTGAAGTGGGCTGGCCCAATAGAAATAGAATGAATAAGTGTGAGCGGTGAGGAGAGGGGCAGACAGAATTTAGGGATCGGGACTGGGAATTTGGGAGTGTCAGACCACTCGAAGAGTCTCAACCTTTTCTTTCGTTCTTTTCTGTATTCCATCATTAAACCTTCATTAATATACTACGATTATCCACTGGAATTCTGTTGTTACTTATCATTTCACTATTTTCTAGGACACGGTCGCCTTTTTCTGGTCTTTTGAACCAAGTCACAACGACCAAAGATAAAGACGATTGGAAGTCCTGCTACATAGTTAAGGACATCATTAAATATGGCAGGACACACATCCTTACTCATCCTTACTGATGTTGTGAGAACAGAACACACTTCAAGTTCTGGCTTTGGTTCTCACTCCTTTTTAACCCAGGAGATGTTTGATCGTCGCTTAGCATTCGATCTTGCACATCTCAAAGAACGCATTATGGAAAGAGTATAGTCTTTCATCCTAACAGCGGTACAGGACAAAGGCAAAACCCAAGCAATTGGACAATCATTAACCTCTCCACCAACCACCTCTCAACTCACACTTGAAACCACTTCACAATCAACTAATGAAACTACCTCTTCTGACCAACCCTACCTCCTGTCAGGATGAAGCTCGGGTTCTTAAACGCCGACATGATGATTATGATGACTCAAATCATCATAGGGGATAAGAGACCCCAAGTTTCTGATCAGAGAACATCCTCCACAACCCAACCATCCACTAAATTACCTATTTAACCACAAACTTCTCAACCGTCTGAGTTACCATCCACATCAACCAATGAGCCCAAAGACACCACCATTAACACTTCTGAACCACAAACTTCTCAGCCCTTTGATCCACCATCCACATCAACTTACCACACTACCTTAGGGAGTACATGCATTTGTCTCGCTTATGGTCATAATCTACCTACACTCATCTCATATATCTCTGGTGTGGATCGTGAGCTCCTTAGTCCGGATCAACTTATGATTACATGGTGTGAAACATAAGCTACCTAGTTGGGACTAACTATTAGTTAGGGCTTGGGTGTGAGTTGTTAAATCTCTGTAGCATATGAAGCTACATATTGATAAACCCTTTCATCTGATGCAATGAATTGAGTCTGGCTCTCTCTTGGTTGCGATGACCATTAATGTTTTCCAAAGTTTCACGGAACATTTCAAATAAGTCTCGAATTTGTCAGAGAGCGTACAGGGTTCCCACCAAAGAGCCACATTCAGGGTGTGTTCCTCAACTCTCTTTTAAAGCCACACATGGGACCCCCACCAGAAATCATGATGCACTACCATTGCTGATTGACTCACCTGACAGGAATCACAGGAGTACACCGCTTCTTCTCAACAACCACCTGAATTGTGGCTCCCTAGTGTTCCATTGGTAAATTGACTGAAGAAGCCTCCTGGGAATCGGAAGACATATTTCGGGCCACTTATCCGGACTTTGAACTTCAGGACAAGCTCACATTCAAGAAGGGAGGTGAAGTTATGGACAGAGGGAAAAATTATCAAGTGTCATTTGGGCCAAAATGGTCATCTACCTAGAGAAATTCAGCCCAAGAAAACCACAGAAAGTGGATAACTTGGGAGCAAGTTTATTTTTGTATTTATTTATTATACTGCTTTCTTAATTGTGTTTTAGTAAGTCTCTTTTTAATCCATTTATACATATTAAAACTCGGGGTTAGGTCACCAATATTACTAAAAATTAGCAAATGGACACTTACTAAAAATGTGACTAATTAACATTACATTTACTAAATTACCCCTGACCCCTAGTGACTTTATCAAACAGTGACCTAGTTCGTCACAGTGACATACCATTCAGTGACCTCCGTCATAGTGACTTCCGCCAGCCACCGTGAGTGACCAACCCTATAGTGACTTCCGTTCAGTGACCAATTTACACAGTGACTTTTGTCCAGTGACCAATTAACAAAGTGACAATTACTCGACCCGTCCAGTTACAGTTACCCAATCCGTCCAGTTACAGTTACCCGACTCATCCAGTTAGAGTTACTTGACCCGTCCAGTGACAATTATCTGATCCGTTCAATTACATTTACCCGCCCAACCTTTTACAAATACCGATTTGATCATTTACTGTTATCCGGATCGAATAATGATTACCGTTGACCAACACCGCCGACGACAACCACCTCCAGCCACCGCCTACGACAACCACCTCCGGCCCCGCACCCCATCCCCCTGCCTCACCCAATCCCCCACCCCTGCGTCACCCCATCCCATGCCTCACCCACCCCCCTCCTCAGCCCCCAGCACTCAGCCCCCTCCCCAGACCGCAGCTCCCCGCCCCATCTCCTGGCACCAGTCTCAACTCCCCATCCCCTGTCACCCAAATCCTCGCACCACCGCTGCCCCGCCACGCCCAGCCGCCGCAGGATCGTTGCAGATCTAGAATAGCCTCCACCCTGGGCGACGCCTGACAGAAAGAGAAGAAAAAGAAGTTGGGCAGGGCAGCGCCGAGAAGCCAGGGTGATGACGGCGATGAAGATCTGCTTCTGCTCTCTTACCGGCGTGAGACAAGGGAGACGGCGACGGCCAGTGTAGCGATATGAGGCTCTGTCGGCGGAGGAGGTCGCGATGTCTCTGTTTGCTTGATGCGTCGGGAGAAAAAGAGTTGAGCGCACTGAAGTAGAAATCGGAAGGAAAGGTTAGGCAATTAGGGTATAGGGACATTAAAGTCAATTTAAGCCATTTTCAGTTAGTTTTTTGTCCAAACGAAGTTTACTCCTAGTTTTGTCTTTCCATAAGCCGGAAGTCTTGTTTTAGTCATTCTTTCTTAAAACTCTACTTCCCTTTATGTTTTGGACTCTAGTAATTGCTATATACAGGGTCTCTCAATTGATTTAATAAACTGGTTTTGAAAGAATTGATTATTGTGTGTCTGAATCAAGGTCAGGCAATGGATTAATTCCAAATTAAGCATTCCTTCAGTTTTCTTAAGTCTAAATCAAATTATAGATCCCAACACCAACTGCTCGTCTATATCCTTCTTTCTCGTTGAATCGAATTCTCCATTTGACGAGGTAGTCCACACGCATTCTTAAGATATTCATACTAACAATATGCATCTCCTTTTAATGGAACCCATTTACTAAGAATTCTACCGTTAAGTGTGTTTGTACGAGTAATCTTAGAATGGGAGACTCCCTATAAAGTTTTCCGAAGGCATATGTGTGAAGACAAAATGTGCCATGAAGATATGTATTGGTTTGTGTGGAAAGTAACGAGCCTATAGAGTAGTCAGTACTAAACCCCTCATACATGTGAGCGGCAGAAGTGTTACACTAACAAAAGCACCTCTCTACCTTTCCCTGTTGGGAAGATACTGCCCCAAAAAGAGTGGTTATCCGTTATCCTCCTTTTGAATTTCCTGTAAATGCAACTATCTCGTCTTCTGGTGTTGCATTGATCCCTTCCTACACCGGTTTGACCATCCCGGCTCATCTGAACCTGACCGGTTTAGAGTACTGGACCCCGATTTTTTACCTCCATCAATTGGCATTGTTTGTGGGAACTAGGAATAAACCAAAAGATATGCCCTTGTTCATCTGGTGGTCCCTGAAAACAGACACGGCTTGTACACCACTATCATCCAACCTTACATGTACTTCCTCCCACCATGGAAGAAGGATCCCATTTCATCATTCTAGAGAGAAAAGTTTAAAGTCACCCATCCTACTTGTTCTTGCTGCCTTGGGCATGCACAACCTTGTAATATTCGGCCCCATGGCCTCCAACAATGAAAGCAGCCCTCTCCCGACACCACCAAAAAGACCCATGATTTTATCTCATCTGGATTTCACGTATATACAACTGCCTTTATCTTCCAGTGTTGCACTGACCCCTCCTCAGGCCATCAAGACCAGCCAGAGTGGGTCCAAACCGGCCAGTTTGGAGGACTTGACTCTGGCTAATTACCATACACACGGTTCTTTTAGATTTAAGGACTTTACTTGATGAACAAGATTCTTGGTAGGATGATCTATTTTAATTGCACAGGGCTTTGACAAAGTTCAAGTCCCAGGGTGTTACACAGCTCTGACCAGGCTGTGCACACCTGCCTGTATCACTGCATGAAAGCCCATAACATAGAGCTCCTTGTCTCAATTGGTTTTATTTACTTATTCTAATGTTGCCTGGTTAGTTTGTCTTTCTGTTAACAATATTTTTGTTAAAATTAATAATACAATAACAAGAACAGGTGTAAAAAAAATTAGTAATAATACTTACAGAAAATATAATAAAAATGCTTTACAAATGTTAACCTGCAATGTGTATGTTTTTGATGGTGAAATTATTCTGAAGCATAGGCGCAAATCTGTATCTTCAGCATCAACTTTTATTATTGAAGTATGAAGATCAACAGTGTGAAATCCCAAACTTTCTTCTCCAAGAGATGATGACTTTTGATATCTTGCTCTAAATCTACTAAATACCTTATTGTTGTGCTCTACACCAGGTGGCGGAGATCCCTGGGAGAAAGACAAATATTTAAAGTCAAATTGATATATCAAGCAAGCTGAACAGTTGAATTTGTACAGCACAAATACGCACTATCGAAATTATGAAGGGAACATTAAAGCTGTATAGAAGACATTAGTAGTTAGTGCAAACACATAAAAATATTTCCCAAAATTCAATTATATCTTCAGCAACATATTACATATAAATGGTGTTGTTACTTATTAGAGTTTTTATAGTTTTAACATTTGTCAAAATACTGAAACAAATGACCCATGCAAGCATAAGTAATAGAGTTTTCTAAAAACAGGGAAGACTCATAAACCAAGTCAGAGGACAATTGTTTGTTTTGACTACAAATGCTTTTGAATTTAACCAAGATTCATGTATTGATAATATCACTAATAATCAGGAGTGCGGGATAGATTCAGGTAGGTATTCAACAATCGTGTATTTAATAGATGTCATATTTATTTGAAAAGTAAAAGATCGCACTCAATGTGCAAGTGAACAGACAACTACTCATTTAGTCATTTTAGCTATAAATGTGCCGCCAAATGAAGGTTTTTTACTTAATCAGAACTCCGGTTTGATGATTCACTAATGATCACGAGTAAAGGCTCCCACCTACTGTGGGGTAAGGGGAGTTCGGATGTACACAGTCTTGCCCCTGTGCTAAAGCACATATTGACTGTTTCCGGATGACCCATTAATTTAATAGATACAACAATAACAACAACAACATCCAAGCCTTAATCCCAAAAGATTTTGGGGTCGGCATTAATTTAATAGATGTGGAAAAAAAATTGAGTGTAAAAGGTTAGGCTTAATGTGCAAATTGACACTTGGCCAAGATAATGACCCAGGCCCCAACTATATATTATGAAGGTATCATCCAAAATAGTTACACTTTCTCTAAGAGTATTGCTTATTATACTCATTTATATGCATGTGGTATGCACATGTCATCTCATGCACATATGATGTTAAGTATATAACTACCATTAGATGATTAGAAGAAATAGTAGGGCCAGATGTAATATTTAGCTTGACTCAAATTGTTCTTCTTTTGGTGATGCACTGATGCTTGACACAAATTGTTCTTTTTTTGGCGATGCTTGACTTAAATTGATACAAATATGAAAAATGTTGCCAGTAGGATTAAAATAAAAAATGAATTGATATCAAAAGGGCACTTTCCTTTGGAAATCACTAGAAAAAAGAAGATCATATACTAAGTTTCCCAATGGCCCAAATTGCTTCCTAAAGAAATATTAAGATGGGCATGGCTTCTGAATGACGGATGCATAAGGGAGAATGCAACGCCACATAAAATATGTTCAAAATCACTAATAGGGAATACCACAGCACAAACATGATTTATAAATAACACCCTCTTCCTGGACAAGGAATGTATTTGTTGGACAGTCTAATATTTTTTCAGACTTAAAGTATCTATTCAGTCATCAATAAGATAGTGAAACTCTTTAGTTAGTATACCGCTCTTTTGGGACCACTGTGCCTATAATAATACAAGTTGCCGAGACTGTCTAGAACGAAAAATCTCCTCTTCCAATCAGCCCTTGAGCCGGTGGATCTTTTCAAAATATATCCCTGCTTGATTATATGGACCTAGAAGTTGAAACATATCAAATATTCAATATAACCAGACTCCGAAGTCTAGCATCTACACTATATGGAACAAAGTAACAAAAAAAAAAATAGCTGGGGTATAGATTATAGACTGTCCAGAAATTTATTCAGTTGGCGAAAAAAACATTTGCTTATGTTACGAAGTAGATTTCTATGTACAATGATATTTTTACAGATCTTAAAGTCATGGATGATGATTATATGAAAAGAGAACATATTTTAAGACACTACTTACTTCACCATTCGCACTGGACTGCATAATTGCTTCTATATTTTTATTAGAACTCATACCAACCCCATTAGAGTGGAAAGTACTTGTTGAACTACTGAGATTACTAGATGCCTGCATAAGGTCTAGCTCTGCCTGTGTCCTGAACTCCTGAATCCTTTTGGCAAGCCTGTCTTGTTCAATATTGGTCTGTTCCTTTGATTGTTGGGCATATGTTAAAACCTGAATATTGGGAAAACACAAAATACTAAGGCACACACAAAAAAATCTTGTGTTACTTATCGGAACTAAATCATATTGATGAGATATCTAGAACACATTGTTGACAACAAAAGTAAAATGCAGGTCAACTCGTATGTTTCTCTAATCATTGATATAGGATTGAAAATGTAAATGAACCCAAGTTGGGTCAGATCATTCATAATTAAAGACATTATAAACTCATATTCAACATCTTCATTCATCTCGGATAGCAACATCGTATACGAGATTCATGCACCACATGTTTGAACAGCGTTAAACATTCTCTTTTGTGAGGTCATGAGTTGAAGCTAATTAAAAGTTGGGGTCTTTGATGTTTATAAGTAATACATACTCCCTCCGTATTAAAATGTTTGCTAAAATAGAGTTTGGCGCAATGTTTAAGGGAAAAGTAGTAGGGGTAATGAATAGTGTAGAAAAGTAGGAGAGGTGGTGGAAAAGTATGAAAGGGAAGATAAAAAGTAGAAAAAGTAAGGGGAATTGAGTGTTTTTAAAGGGAAAATTTACCAATAAGGTAAAGTGTAGCAAAAAATAAAATACATCCCAAAAAGGAAAATGCATCAAACATTTCAATATGGAGTATCATTCATATGGGTTGTGCAATGGTGCTCAGTTTTTTATAAATAAATTGAGAACTCATATTCTTGAGGCTTTTAAATATCACATTCTTGTGTTACTTAATTTGCTTTCTATTAAGTGTCCTACATCAGAGGTTTATCATATTTATGCATCTAACATAAAAGTTTAAGATCAACTTCACTTCTTGAATATCTTTTTGAAGTGAGCTAGGCCAATAATTGATATGATATGGGCCTAGTTTGAACCGTTTTTGCTTTTTCGCACCTATGGTTTAGGATATGCTTTTTCGAGTCAGTTTGGCACTTTGGCCTATTCATCCACATCTCAAGTTGTGTCACACTTCGGATGTTTACTAGAACTATGTCTAATATATGTGTGTGAGGTAAACATCATCTTTGAGGGACTATAGAAGAGTTTGTTCCACATCACATGAATATGAAATACCAAAGTGACATAAAAGAAATTGGATTGATTATTCTATCACATCAACTTCTTAAGATGAAGCCACATTTCTTAAAAGGGTACGAGTACCAACTTAATATATAGTTATGGTGCGGATCCCATATCAAAAAATGTGCGTAGTACTAACCGAGGTGTCATATGTGAGGTATGGGCACTTATAAAAGAAATACAGTCTATACTAGGTGTCGGTATTGAGGGGTGTGTGCCCATATGAAAGTGGAAACAAACTAACATTTCAACAATCCAAACAAAGGGTCTAGTCATATAGAGGTGTTAAAGAGTTTGTATCACATCGTCTAAGTATGAAATAACAAATTGACATACTAGGTCTTAGGCTACTTTTTTATCATATTGACCTTTTAGAATAAAAACTCAAATCGGAGCACAACTATGGACCTTTTATCATATGCTTTGGTGAAGAGATCACTTAGCTGGTCACCGCTCTTACAAAACCTTAAGAAATCAAACATTTTTGTATTTTCTTATGAAAAATGATAAACTCCAATATATTTAGTTCATTCATGAAAGGCAACCGAAGGTTAGGTGCAATATGGAGAGTATTGATTATCACACCACAACTTCATAGGCATTGAGGCCTTGAAGCCTATCTCATACAACATGTGATATATTCCTATTATTGACACAAAGATCATGTCATAGATCAGTATTCTGATTCTGTACTCGGCCGAAAGTCAGTCTGCAATCTTCTTCAAATCCTGCCCATTAGCATCAAAAGACACTCAATCCCTATGTGCTCATGGTTTTTGTATACTGTACCATGTCCTACGGCATTCAAGTAACCCTGAATGAGTCCTATGGCAGCCCAATGGTCATCTGTCTGAAATGTCATATACTGACTTACACACTGAAGAAGATGCTCTGATGCAATAATCAGGCTGATTACAGTCAACTAATTCAATTTTCCCTCTAGTCTTGTGTACCTCACTGGATCTTCAAATGGTTCTCCCTCTTTTGTTAACTGTAAGTTAGGAATCATAAGAGTATTGCTACACTTAGCTTCAAATATCCTTGCTTCAGAAAATAAATCAAGTTAAGTATACTTCCTTCAAGAAAGTAATGGTAGTTTATTTGCTCCTTGTTGTAACATCTATACCCAAGGAACACTTCAGTTTACCACGACATTTGTTCGAAATTGACTACAATTTTATTAAGGAAATTTTTAAACATACAATGTGCATAGTATCGCTCCTTGTTAAAACAACATGATCCACAAAGACTACCAATAGAACTACTCCTTCATTGTAATAATAATAATATTGTCTAATATATTCACGGATCTTTGAGCTTAGTACATCAAACGTGTATATATAGGGTTTTCTCACGTAATTGAGTATACACTAAAATCCTCTTACTCCTCAACCTCTCCTTACAACAGAAACCAACATAATAACGCCTGAAGATAATTTATAAAAAATGTCTTGGGAAAGTAGCTAAATTTGTTTTTTCTAAAGGTAAGGCAGTACCTGATGAATGAATGGCTCCATTTGGCTCAACAGTTCATATCCCTGTTTGGGGTGCATGAAGGAATAGTATTGGTCAGTACGGGAAGGAGTCATAAATGCTACCGGTAATTGAATTATTAGTAGAAGAGAAACATACCAACTTAAAGTATCTTAAATGAGCATCCATAATCGCACTAAAAGATTCCAGGAACTCGTGCTTCTTTTTTGCCTCAATATTCATGAGAGCATTTACCTGAATACAAGTTACAACCAACAATGAGATAAGATTAGAGCATAGTTGTGGTGATCTTTAATTGCAATTACCAAGTAGTTAATAATGCACCACACGTACTAAATTAAAGCGGCTTCTTTCAAAAGCTGACTTTGAGTTGTGTAGGTCCTGTAACAGATTGAGTCAATATCTGAGTTATAAATAAGAAAGTAAAAGGGTCAAATAGGCTCTTCAACTATCATGAATCCATCACATAAACAAATCTACTAATAAAAGAATCAGTTAAACACATTTACTCCATAAAAAGGTTCAATCTGCTCAGAATTACCGGAAAGCAACATTCTTAACCGGCAAAAGACATATTTGACTTTTTTTTTCTTTTTCCTTTTTCTCTTTCCTTTTCTTCATTCTTTCTTTCTAGTCGTTGACCTCCCGTCCGAAACTCCTAGCAGCAACTGCATTTTTTTCTCTTCCATCTTTAATTTGTATCTTTATATATATATATATATATATATATATATATACATATATATATATATATATACATATATATATATAGGGGATGGTTCAAATATAAAGTGGTCTTAACGTGCAAAGTGCAAAGTTTGCACTTTTTCTTGTTTCGCTTGCACTTTTTCTTGCTTTCATTGCACTTTTTCGCGGTAGCTCAAAAAAATTGGTTTATTTACAAAACTGCCACCGTCATTTTGGCCGAATTTGGCCAAAATCAAAATGGCCAAAAAGTGCAACGCAAACAAGAAAAAGTGCAAGCGAAACATGAAAAAGTGAAAACTTTGCACTTTGCACGGGAAGACCACTTTTCATTTGAACTCTTCCCTATATATATATATATATATATATATATATATATATATATAGGGAGTGCTTCCTGTGAGAAAGGACTTCTAGGAGAGAAATGAGAATGAATCTGGACCGTTGGATTGTATTATGTAAAACTGAATTGTGCATTTGGTGAAACTAAAACGTGCATTAGGTGAAATTGAAATGTGTAGAATCAAAGGTAAAACTCAAAAGTGCATTACGTTAAATTGAAATGTGCATAATAAAAGGCTCACAAATGTCACCACATTGTAGCTTTTATTCTGCACATTTCAGTTTCACCTAATGCACAATTCAACTTCACATATGCCATTGTGTTGTACCTTTTTGTGTTGCACATATCGTTTCACCTAATGCACATTTCAGTTTCACCTAATGCACATTCAATTTCACAGAATACAATCTATCGGTTCACATTCATTCTCATTTCTCTCCTAAGATCATTTTCTCACTTGAACCTAATTTTATATATATAGCAGTGTTCTTCTTCACCCCCCATTTCAGATCTTTCTCAGTCATAGCCGCTCGTATTTGGGTTTGATGGCGCTGGCCGTGAGAAATGCTTTGCTAAAACACTTAGGACTGGAATTTGTTGCTCTACGATACTCATCGCCTCAATCCCTAACCCTAGAGCCCCATTGGATGGCTGATTGGACCGAGCCGTCATTTCTGCGAGCTAGCCAGATTGAGGCTCCATCCTTGATAAATTCGAAGTCACTGACCGTGGAAGTTTAGACACCATGGGAGTTGTTATGGCCCTCAAAGAAGAGTTCAGATTTAAAATACCAGACAACGAAGCAGACAAGATTAACACAATCAGTCTTGCAGTGGAATTGATCCCCCTTCATTTTTTTATATATAGCAGTTTGCATATCAGTCATGGGAACACTCTAAATGGACCTAAGCCCCAAGGATGACTTTGAATTCTGTTTTTTACTTTGTATTGAGGAGTTCAATGAGGGCAGGGGCATTGGCCATTGGGGTCCTTCTGAACGTTTATGAAACATTGATAATCATTATTGTTAATTCGGAATCTCGGATGCATGTGTGTGTGTATACATCAAACTCATTTTTGTATTGTTTGAAGGATCGGCTGAGAGTTATGGAATAGGCCACGTTTGATGCTGGAACAGGGATGAGGAAGAACGAATTAAAAGAAAGTAAGGGATGGGAAAAGTCGAAAACTTAAAGAAGAAAAGAAGAAAACAAAAAATGAAAAAACAAGAAACAAAGAAGAAGGTGAAACTACGGGCGTTGGGTTATGGGATTGAGGGAACCCATTTCATTTTCATTTCATTTTCATTTCTATTTCATTTACCCCAGTGCCTCAAAGGCTACCACCTACGGTGGGGTAAGGATGTACGCAGTCTTACCCCTGTACTAAAGTACAGAGAGACTGTTTCTGGATGACCAATAGTGAAAATCCCGTCCAAAATTGCATGGACTGACTGTTGCTTCATAACAAAGAAGCGCAGACAGTTTAGCGAGCCATTTGCTTTATTCCATCATAATCTCAAGCCAAAAAATAATGAATCTTTGGCTTGAGATTAAAACGAAAATAAAAATGAGAGAGAAAGACTAAAGGATTACCTGCTAATACAAGTTACTTTCAGGCCATTTGGCCTAATTAATTGACTTTTAAGAGTAAATAGATTTATATTATGATTTTTTTGTACATGGGTCTAAGTGACCAATCTGCAATTGTAGAATGGTCTATTTGACCCTTTTTTCAATAAGAAAAATAGGTGATTACAGCTTTGGCTACTAACATCTGGTTTCACTGTTTTCAAATATATTAGCAAATGAGCGCTATTCGTCCTCTGTAACTCTGGGTATACAGCATAATTATTAAAGCCACAAGTAGATAGTAAAATCATTCAGAACTGTTCATCTAGAAAATAAGAATATGTTTTTTATTTTTGGAAAAATTTTAACTTTTAGCAGATGAGTGTTGGCAAAAAACGAGTTTTTAGTAACTAGGTAACTACATTAGCTCAAAAAATAAGTGTTATACAGAAATGTTACAGAAGACCGAAGCAGCAAAACAGACAGGAAATGGAAATATTCATGGGCAGAAATTCAAGAATCAATTGACTAGGCTAACAAAGTTAGCTCTCACATAACTTTGTGAAAACATGATCATGAAATTGATAGGGAGCGGAAGGGGGTTTAGCATCAAAAGACCTAGAGGACATGGCAATTTATATCTCATCTTGGCCTACAACTAGTCGGCATCACTCTACAACTACAAAACTTGAGTCTCAAAGGACATGTTTCTAGCAAACTAATCAATAAAATAGGGAAAGTTTCAGAGGTAACCCTCAGGTTTGTGGTACTTCTCAAACTGACCCTCCCATATACATGTTTCTCACAATGACAAAATGACCATCCTATTTACATGTTTTATAGTATTAAGGGAAAAGGGTCAGATAGGCCCTCGAACTTACATAAAAAGGTCAAATAAGCCCTTATATAGGAGGCTCTGTCCGGCCGTCGCCATTTAGGGCGGTTCCCGTTGGAATTTTTTGATGAAAAATTTTGAGCATCTTATTCATTAAGTCTAGTTTACTCATACCAAATTCCAACTAAAACTTCAATCGGGAAGGCATTCAAATGAATTCTTGAAGATAACTGCGCAGTTAAAAGCACAGCTATCTTCAAGAATTCATTTGAATGCCTTTCCGATCGAATTGTTAGCTGAAATTTGGTATGAGTAAACTAGACTTAATGAATAAGATGCTCAAAAAAATTCATTAAAAATTCCACCGGGAACTTCCAGAAATGGCGACGACCGGACAGAGCCTCCTATGTAAGGGCTTATTTGAACTTTTCATGTAAGTTTGAGGGCCTATTTGACCCTTTTCCCTAGTATTAATTTAATAAGGGCTTCACCATGAAATTTCTCATGATATTTTACTCTACCTCATAGTTATCTCAAAATGTGAAAACCAAGAGGCTATTATTTTGAGAAATGTCACAAATCTAAGGTTGACCTCAGTAACTGTACCATAAACATAAGAAAAACTCATTGCAATCAAACAACATTTTTGTAAAACCAGAGAAACTCTACTCAGGAATGGCAGTCTATATTCACCTGTCCAACTACATCACTGCCTTGTAAACATATTAAACCTGGTACTGTTCAGTTTCTGTTTCTAGCTATTTTCACTTGTTAATAATGACAAAAGGAATCAGATAAAAAAGGCAAGTATGCAGACCAACATATAGGCAACAAATGCATATGGTAGGAAGGAGAGAGTTTACTTCTTCGAGTTCAGTAACAATGTCATCACGTGTATTCTTCTTTAAAGAGGCAAACTTTTCCCGTGCCTAGCATTTCATTGATAACCAAAATTTGTTAATACAGAGTTAAAAGTCCAGGAATAAGGAAGGTAAAGAAACCATACAAGTGTGGTGTAACTTTGTAAGACAAAGAGTAAGGCATTTCCTATCACATTTTGTATTATGGAATATTACTCACCGGGGCCAGTCCCGAGAAAACGGAGGCCCTGTGCAATGAAAAAATTTGGCTTTTTCAACACAAGTAGAAATAAGGGTGTGGCCAAAACCGAAAGTTGGGGTCGACCGATACAAAAAACTTATTCAGATAAATATTTACACATAAATTTTTACAGTAAAAATACAAACAATTTTCAAATTTGGGGTGGTTTGGGGCCCAATTCCCCCCACCTCCGCCGCTGAGTAGAAATGTAATAGTTCGTATAAATGAAAATTATACTAATAATAAATTACTAATAATCTGTGTCAAATTACTGTTAGGAATTAGGGCTTCGACGAATACATGATTGATTATGCGAGAACTAAAGAAGAACACAAGAACTTAAGTGGTTCACCGGTCAGACTTACCGGCTAGTCCACTGCGCAAACTAGAGAGATTTTATTACTGAGAGAATGCTTTACAATTCCTGGTGATATATGTTTAGGGTTCACTAATGATCTATTTATAGAGATAGGAAGAAAACTCTAGAGAATGGGCTTTCTTTGGTTCCAAACAATCTAGCTTTGGCCCCAAGTAATCTAGCTTCGGCCCCAAGTAACCTAGCTTCGGCCCCAAGCAACTGGACTGTCTTCGGCCCCAAGCAACTGCACATATTTCCTTCACCATTTGAATGGATCAGATCTTCACCACCCAACAATCTCCCATTTGGAGGGAGATCAACTGTGTGACTAGCTGCCATCCAATACTCGATCTATGTGAAAAACTATCTCTCTCTGCAATCTCTCTCTCCATCTCTAGTCCGCGCCTTCTCTTCAATCAACTAGAAGGCCAGGTTGAAGCCAAAGCTTCAACTTCTTTGTCATCTGAACTCACACTGCTTCCTGAAGTCTCACCTGAGCTCCCATTGGAAACTAAGTTGTCAACCAAGTTATCACCGCTTTCTGAACTCCCACTTGCCCCTGAGTTCTTTCTGTGCCTTGATCTAACTTTTCAACTGCCATTGCAGCCTGAAATCTCAACTGATTTCGTGCTGAAATCACGACTCTCTTTGCTCCCACTGCAACTTGAAATCTCAACTGATTTTGTGCGGGATCCTGAGTCGACACCAAAACTTTTTCTGTCACTGCAACTTGAGGTAGGGATGTGCTTATTTGTATGAACCTGCTTCTTTCTCAAAACTTTAGTCGGTTGTTTCTTCTACATGAAAGCGACTCTTTTCTGTCTGCCATAAACACACGGCTCAGAAAAACAAACTGTCACATTCTTCAGATGTTTGCCTCTAGAAGCCTTTTTCTTCATGCTCGTCCCTTTCTCTTCAACTGTTGCTTTTGCTCCATCTTTAGAAATCTCAACTAAGTACATTGATCCTCTTTTATGACCTCGAGCAATTATCAAGTTCTCTTTCGTCACCTTCCACTTTTGGTCTCCAAAATCGACATGATGGCCTTCAACATCTAAATGCCTTGCTGATATTAACACTCTCTTCAAGTCCGGAATATATCTGACATTTTTCAATGTCCAATTCGTACCAAGAGATGTCTTGAGGACAACATCCCCAATACCCATAATATTAAGGATCTTGTTATCTGCTAATCTGACTTTACCACGGTGGTGTCTGAAATTCTGCATAATCTCTTTTGATGAGCTGGCATGGAATGAAGCACCAGAATCCATAACCCAGGATTCGAGCGAACAGTTTACATAACATGCAAGTGCGTCTTCATAATCTTCAGCCACATTCATATCATTCTTATCTTTGTCTGTTGACGGATGTGGACACTGATTTCTGAAGTGTCCGTTTTCTTTGCAATTCCAACATGTGATGTCATCCCTGTTTTTCAATTGTCCTCTCTTTCCTGTTCGTGATCTCCGTTTACCTGTTCTGTTAGAATTTATGTCCATTTCTTCAACATGTAACAGATCTCTGTAACTCTACTTTGCACTCAACCTGCGAATACCTTCACCTACGATTAAATCGTGAATGCCTTCAAAAGTAAGCTTAGTAATTCCGGATGAACTGCTAACTGTTGTAACTGTTCCAGACCAACTCTCGGGCAACGAAGATAATAATAATAAGGCTTGGTCTTCATCTTCGAATTTAATGTCAACTGATACTAGTCGCGTTAGTATCGATTTAAATTCGTTCACGTGATCAGTCACCGACATGCCTTCTTTCATCTTCGTTTCACCAACTGCTGAATCAAGAAACCCTTGTTTGACACTGAGGATTTCTCGTACATGTTAGATAGTGCCTTGATTAGCCCGTGCGTTGTCTTCTCGTTGACGATGTAGTAGGCTACATTTTTCATCAGTGACCACCCAAGTGCCTGCTGATCTAAGAATGTCTACTCATCATCCGTCATCTTTTCAGGTTTACTTTCTTCCAAACCTTCTATGGTAGAGATAGTCTTCAATCTGCATCTTCCAAAATCCAAAATCGTGATTTGCCCGTCTTCCGCCATAGCCGGTGTCAATCTTGATCTGCCCGTCTTCCGCCATAGCTCTGCTCCGTAGAGGATAATCTTCAATCTACACAGCTTCCTGTCGTCATTCTGAATCTGCCAATCGTGGCTTTGATACCAGTTGTTAGGAATTAGGGCTTCGACGAATACACGATTTAAGATGCCAGACCTAAAGAAAAACACAAGAAGTTAAAGTGGTTCGCCGGTCAGACAACCGGCTAGTCACTGTGTGAACTAGAGAGATTTTATTACTGAGAGAATGCTTTACAATTTCTGGCGATATATGTTTAGGGTTCGCTAATGATCTATTTATAGAGATAGGAAAAAAATTCTAGAGAATGGGCTTTCTTTGGTTCCAAGCATTCTAGCTTTGGCCCCAAGTAATCTAGCTTCGGCCCCAAGTAACCTAGCTTCGGCCCCAAGTAATCTAGCTTCGGCCCTAAGCAACTGGAATGTCTTCAGTTCCAAGCAACCGAAAATCTTTCCTTCACTATTTGAGTGGATCACATCTCCACCACCCAATAATTAGAACTTATTAATGAACAAAACAGTCTAAGGAGTATATTGTCTGTATTGATGTTTATTTAATTATTTGTTTAATATACTCATTATTAATTACATAGTATTAGTTTAATGGGGAATTGGGAATGGGGCTTTGCGTTGTGGGCTGCCATGAAATAAACTTCGCTGCCTGCATTTTGTAGTTTACAATGGACACTTTCTTACTAGGCTCTACTTATACTATAATAATACTTCAATTTTTGTTTGGGCCTTCAACTTTTCTTGGCCTTGTCACATTGCACTGCCTACACACCCTGTCACCCTATGGGCCGGCGCTACGACTCACTTGCATAATTTCACCTCCTCTTCAAACTCAAGTTGGTTTAATAAAATGAATCTTACGATAACTCAAAATAAGAAATTAATGTCAGATAAACACAGAGTTGTGTACATCCTAAGAAGCCCGAAAACATCCCACACCTCACTTTTGCCGTTTCAGAAACTTGGAAGCGTGTCAGAGAAACATCAAATTACCACTTTTGTGTCATTCCCGTAATCATTAACTGAGAAGCTTGTGTCCCTAATTAATTCAGAAACATTGAGCTTCAACCTTTTTCTTTTTTAAATAAGTGCCTTCATAGAAATTTATAATGATTTTCTAAGCATGTATTGCATTTTATATTTGTACTTATATGCCAATTATTTCTACATTTTGAGCATGTAGACTATTTGTATTATTGGTTATTTAACAAAGTTATATGAAAAAATATGTATACATGTAGATGAAAAATATGTGTGTACACGCATATACTCGTATATGAAAGAATATTTTATTGACATATCCATTTTTTAATTTATGACTTTCCCTTTTCACGGCTGTGTGAAACATACAACAACCATTTCTTACTCTCTAGACCAGGCAAATCTAGAATTCAAATGGGAATGAACATCATTTATAATTGGGATGTCGTTCAATACAATCATAAATTTGCAATGATCCAAAGAGAATGAATTTTGAACCACTGTTCACACAAGGGAAGTCTGCTAGATTGTAAGTAAATCCTCTCATGGGCCTTGTCCTCTACAACCTGCAGTACGACTTACTAGATCAATCTAGATGGGGATGTACAGATATGTTAGATTCGCATAAGACATTTTCTCTAAATTTCTATGGCAGACTGTGTCACGGTTCTATTTAAGGTAGGCATTAAAAATGGTGCTTTCCTGCATTGATTTTTCCGATGGACTGCATATTTCACTCCCACGAAATCCTCTGTTGTGCATGTCTGGATCTCCCTCCCGGTTTGGACATGCCATTTATTTGATTTGAATAGCACTCAGAAAGTTTCTCAGCCTATTAGACACGCGTTGAAGGTGGATGTGGCCGCAATTTTCCTCTCACAGCCAGCCCTGGTGTAGGTCTGGTGCCAAATTAGAGAAGGCGATGTTTTTCTTGGAGGGCCGTGATTTCTGCCACTTTATTAGTACAAGCCTTTTACAAAGTAGTGAAGAAAATGGTACAAAAGCTAATGTTAACTAACGGCCAGGTTAGCAAGTCAAACTTTAAGGAGTGGTAATTATAGAGTTAAATCTTGGCTATCACGTATTTTTGAGCCAAAAAATAGATTAAGGCTATCTATATCCTTGTTTTGGTTTCTGTATTTTTTCTGTTTCTATAATAAAAATTGTATTTCACTACCTACGTAGGTTGTTAAGGGTCACCTTAGATAAAATTTGGAAGATTGGAAAATAACAGAAACTGTCTGCAGAATCAAGGTCAATACTCCAAATAAAACAAAAGAGCAGATATTTGTATTTGCTTTTTATCAAGGCGTGAACATCTACCTGGTCATAAGCAGAATTAGCCTTGTCAAATCTGCGACGAGATTCCTGCAGTAACAACAAGTTACAACAAAACTAGGGTTGTAATTTGATTAGTTCTCTTCTAGGTATCATTTACGAGCAAACATATGTGTCCCCTAGTGATTCATTAATTAATCAAACTACAATATTGATGAACTTAATGCTAATTTCAATCACAAATAACTATTTTCTTTTTGTTTGGTAGCCCATGGTGTTGATAACAATCACAAGACACAAATATTACAGGTCAGTTCCAGAAACCAGAGAAACAAAAACACTTCATATGAATGTATCAAGACATTGTTTCAGTTCTACTAAACGCATAGGGAGAACCACTATACCCCATTTAGCCATATGACATAAGTTTATCCAGATGCAGCAAGTTGTTACATAAGAGAAATACATCACATTGAATACTACTTCCACTCCCACCATTTACACCACTTTATCTATTTAATTACTTTTTTAATATGAGATATTTAAGTTTCTTCTTAATTATATCATATTTTCTTCTTAAATTATTATATTATATATACATTTTATGTTACTTCCTTATACAACAACAAAAACTGAAATAGCAGTATAGGCGTATAGCACACTAATGGCACAGAGCTACCATACATCATATTTGGCGCAACACTATTCAAAATTTGCTCCACGACATAAAATATTTGCCACTTATGCGCTGTTTGGAGAAGCCCTTAATGCCCAATTGTCAAATATGCTATACAGGCCTCAAAGTTCAACTTTTTTTTCTAAACCAACATTTTGGAAGCAAGCTACTCATTCATTAAATGAAATCCCTACAACCTTTCCCACTACGTAAAAGTAGACCCCAAATCATGATTTACCTTCACATCTTGCAGATCAAAAGATAAAAATTCAGTCAGTCGATCAACCAGTACATGCTCCACCTACAAAACAAAACCGGTCATGATTTCACTAGATGCATAGAATATTAAACCACAAGTGCGAGGGATAACAGAACCTTCAAAGCATGTCTGCTTTATAGAATATGATATCATGCTACATCTACTGTCGTATAATTTACATCATAAATTTCATGAATCAAAAGTTCAACACGCAATGGAAAACATTGCATTTGCATAGATTGATAAAGAATTTTCTTTTAACCAAAAATAGGAAATAGAGAGAAAATTAGTAACGAAAAGGTAATAGGTGATAGCATTAACAACTACTCCCTCCATCCCAGGTTAAGCTTCTCGCTTGCCTTTTTTGGATGTCCCAACTAAATCTTCTCATTTCTATTTTAGGAAATAATTAACACTCTTAAATGACAATATAATCATCAATTAGTAAAAATAATACACCTATAAGGCTATCAAATCACAGTTATAATCAATGACCTCATTATATTATATACTCATCAAAATTACTTCTGAAAATATACTCGAATTGCCTAATTTATTTATTGTCTAAATAATGGTGCCATTATTAAATGAGAAGCTTAAGTCGAAACGGAGGTAGTAATTAGCAACCACAAATCCAAAAATATAAAGTGACTTCACTATTTTAAACACAGACTCGGTCTAGCTGCCTGTTTTCCATTTGGAACTACTTTGAATACATGATATGTTACTTTACCTGAGAACGAAGAAGATCCTTATATGTTCCAATCTCTCGAAATGCAGAAACAAATTTTGACATTATTGGACCTGGGGATATAGATCACATTTGGAAAAAAACTATCAATTCTTTAGTTCTGTAAGCTGTAAGGTTCAGAACTACAAACAATGGAGGCAAAAATATTCTACTAGAAATGAATCAGATAAATTAGTTTAAGCCAGCCTATATGAAGGCAAAGATACATAATGTCTGTTTTCTATGTGAAACATTTTATTACGACAATTTCATAGTTTTTTTACTAATTTCATTTGCCAATATTACTACATTATACAAAAAAAAAAGAATTTTAAATTTCTAGTCATTTACAAATGGTGAAGAAAATTGAATGAGACCAGACATATCCTTCACAGTAAGTATACTTAGCACTGGGTAAACCGTGCGATGGCCATTGGGATGCAGCTGTCCGAGTCTTGAGATACACAAACATAAGACCATGTCAAGGGTTACTCTACGAAGACCGAGGCCATAATAACATTGTGAGATACTGCAATGCAGATTCAGCTGGATGCCCGACGGACAAACTTTCGACTTCTGGGTATTGTCTTGATTGGTGGAAACTTGATAGAGAGCAGGGAGGCAGGGGTTTGTACAGAAGAGGAGGGTCCGAGACCCAGGCTTCTGTCAGTTTAGGGCAAGCAGGGATGAAGTTGAGCCCACCTTCGTGGGCTGGTTGTGGGCTGGGGTTTTGGTTTTACTTATTATAAACTTTATTTTATGTTTTCTAGTTTGGGCCTATTATTAGTAGAGTATTTAGTAGAGCTAATTTGGGCTAGGGTATGTTATGTTTTCGTTGATTATATTTTTCAGTTCTCATCAATTGGCCAGATCCCATCCCGCCGAAATGAAGAGATCTCACAGCGATCGCTTGACAGAGATGGAGACCGAGTTAACCCTGATGAAAGAAAAATTGGAGGAACATGGCGTCCAGTTGGCCGAGATCACCTCACTGGCAGCGCTCACCACGGCGCTCGTACCACCGGCGACGGTGGAATACTCGTCGGCCGCAACATCCAGCATTGCGGTCTCGGCGCACAACAGCGAAAGAGGTTCATGCAGCACCACACCCGCCTTGCTGCCATCGTTCGAGGGAGAAGACCCGATCGGTTGGGTGGCTAGGGTTGAATAGCAGTTTGAACTAAATGGGACCCCACCAGAAAGTGACAGGCGTTGTGGTTGCCATGGAAGGGGTTGCCCTATATTGTTGAAGGCGCGGAAACCAGGCATGACCTGGGAGGATTTCTCACAAGCATCGGTGGCTCGATTTGACTCCCGATTCAAGGGCAGCCGGTTCAAAAGGCTGTTCAGGGTCAAACAGATGGGAACAGTGGAGGAATACGATACTATATTCGTTCAATTGGCCAGCCAGGTTCCCGGATTGTCCGATGATCATTCATCATCATCATTACCCCAGTGCTGCAAAGGCTCCCATGTACAGTGGGGTAAGAGAGGGTCGGATGTACACAGTCTTACATGTTAGGGTTAGGGCGCACTCACACACAACAACCTGAAAAACTAGAAGAGAACGAGAAGAACGACACGAATTTAACGTGGTTCAGCCAGTAGATGTTACTGGCCTAATCCACGGGGGCAACTAGAGTTTTCTTTCTTATTGAGATGATGAATGATACAAGTCATAGTTTACAAGTACAGGAGTCGATATATATAGGCAAACAATAAGGGTAAAACACTTAATAAGGTTCTGGGCCTGACTGCCACCAAAGAAAAAGGCCCAAATAGGGCTGCCTGCACATTTAACTAAAGCAGGCTGCTGCTCTTTGTTTATTTGGCTCTCAGATCTGAATGGGCCGAAGCCTACAGCCCAACAATCTCCCACTTGGAGGCTTCAAAACACGATCAACTGCACTCCACTCCTCTGTACTTCTGTAAACTTCATCTGTGTTTAGCTCCTCCTAGTTGCCACCTGCCTCCTCAACATTATTCTTGAAGGCCAGCTGAAGTTACACAGAACTTCAGCTTGTTCAGCGTCACAGATTTAGTAAACATATCTGCTGGATTCTTTGCACCTGAGATGTTCTTCAAGTTCATCATTCCTCCACTGATCAACCCTCTGACAAAGTGATATCTCATCCCAATGTGCTTTGTTTTCCCATGATAGACTGGATTCTTGGCAAGTTTCACTGCACTCTCATTATCACAGTGTAACGAGTAATCTGCTTGCTTTTTGTCTAACTCGTCAAGGAAGTTCCTCAACCAAACCAGCTCTTTACTGGCTTTAGCAACTGCCATGTACTCTGCTTCGGTTGTTGAAAGAGCTACACTTTTCTGAAGTTTGGACATCCAACTAACTGTGGTTCCTCCCACTGTGAAAATGTACCCCGTAGTGCTTTTAAATTTCTCTTTGCATCCACCTAAATCAGCATCAGAATACCCTCTCAAAATTATGTCTTTACCTCTGAAACATAACCCCATCTTTGTAGTACCCTTCAAATACCTAAGTATCCATTTAACTGCTTCCCAATGATCCCTCCCCGGTTTTGACATGAAGCAACTAACAACCCTGACTGCATGAGCAATATCTGGTCTCGCGCACACCATAGCATACATGAGGCTACCAACTGCAGATACAAAAGGAACTTTAGCCATTTCTGCTTTCTCTTCGTCTGTTCTCGGAGACTGGTCTTTGGTAAGCTTGAAGAGACTTCCCAAAGGCGTGTTTCTTGGTTTAGTCTTCTCACCATTCATTTTGAATTTCTCCAACACTTTCCCAATGTTTTCTCCTGGGATAGTGTTAAAGAACCATTCTCCTTGTTTCTGACTATGTTCATCCCTAGAATCTGTTTGGCTAGACCCAAATCTTTCATTTCAAATTCTTGAGACATATGTTTCTTTAACTTGTTGATCTCTTTCATATCCGCACCAGCTATCAACATATCATCTACATAGAGAAGTAGCTAGGTAGTTAACTCGCTACTCGGTAGTAACTCGGTCAAGGGCCGAGTAGCGAGTAAGGCTGATTACTCGGGATTACTCGGTGACTACTCGGTCTTGTAATTATTAAATTTAATAGCACATGTGCCTGAGATTATAGAAATATAATAGTCTTAAATTTGTCTTAAAATGCATAGAAATGAATAAAATGATAGAAATCCTAATGATGGAGTAGCAAAAGTCATAAACATTCTAAGTCTTCTAGAAAACTCAATCATCTAATAATTTGCTAGGATCACGGTTCTCTCCCCATGTCCATCCTAAATCATCTTATTTTCTCTTAAGTGTTGGATTAGCATATTCTATCAATTAGATGATGTGTATCAGTGTGTATCGATCAAAATTATGTGCCATAATAAACAATCAATATAGTGATATTAATCTAAAGTTACGTAGTACGAAGTATAATATATATAGTCATACTATTATGTGTTGGATTAGCATATTCTATCAATTAGATGATGTGTATCAGTGTGTATCGATCAAAATTATGTGCCATAATAAACAATCAATATAGTGATATTAATCTAAAGTTACGCCGTACGAAGTATAATATATATAGTCATACTATTGAAAATAATTTATTTATATCAACAAATATGTGTGCATCAATATTAAACAATCAAGATGGTGATATTTTAAGAATGCAGAAAAGAACAATTGGCGAAGAAGGATGGAAGGGCGGAAGAAGAAGAAACGAGAGAGGGGAGAGGGGAAGATACAAAAAAGAGGATGGGAACTTATTGAGAGATCATAGTCACAGCTCTGGAGGATAGTAGATGTTAGGAACTCCGTTTAACCTAGGTTTTGTAACTTAGTTTTTCAATTTTAAAGGGGAACCGAGTTAGACCGAGTACTCGCCGAGTTGAAAACTTCACCGAGTTGAGAAACTCGCCGAGTACTCGACGAGTAACTCGGAAATAAAACACAGACCGAGTCAGATAGCTACTCGACAAGGTCGGTACCCGAGTTGCGAGTACTCGCCGAGTACTCACCGAGTAGATAACCCAAAGAAGTAGAATGATATATGAACTCTTGAACCTCTTCACGTAACAGCAATGGTCCATCTCACATCTTCTGTAACATGTCCTTATCATGAAGTTATCAAACTTCAGATACCACTGCCTTGGTGCTTGTTTTAGACCATATAAGCTCCGCTTTAGTTTGCATACCAGATTTTCTTTACCAACAGTCTGAAATCCTTCCGGTTGTGCCATGTAGATATTCTTATCAAGATTGCCATGTAGAAATGCTGCTTTAACATCTAGCTGCTCTAGATGTAAGCCCTCTGCAACTACAATACTTAGAACCAATCTGATGGTGGTCATTCTAACCACTGGAGAAAAAATATCATTATAATCCACTCCTTTTTTCTGGTGAAAACCTTTGACCACTAAACGGGCTTTGTACCGTTTTGACCCATCAGGTTCATCCTTGATTCTGAATACCCATTTATTTTGAAGTGTCTTCTTACCTGGTGGAAGCTTAGTAAGAACCCATGTCTTGTTCTTGTCTAAGGCATCCATTTCTTCTTTCATAGCCTGCTCCCACTGAAATGAATCATTCTGCTTTACTGCTTCGAAGTAACTTTCTGGTTCTCCATTTTCAGTCAAAAGGAGATAATTGACTGAAGGATTGAATCTTTCTGGAGGTTTAGTGACTCTAGTGGATCTTCTGACCCACCGTGTTTCAACTGAGGCTGCACGGGTGAAGGTGCTCCTTCATCTTCTGAATCTTCACTATCAACAGAGTCTTCGTGATCATCCTCAGACTCGTCAGTACTGGAATCATTCTCCATGCTCCCACTGCCTTGAGTATCTTCAGACTCTCTGTTTCTGATGACATCATTTTCAAACTCAATCTGTTCTTTCTGAATCATTGAGTTTTATGTGCTTCTGTCTTTATAAAGTTCAGCCTCGTTGAAGGTAGCATGTTTACTTCTGACTACCTTTCTACTTTCAAAGTCCCAAAGTTGATAACCCATGTTGTCTCCCACGTATCCAATGAAAGTGTATTTCTTGGCTTTAGCATCTAACTTGTCACCATCTTTGATAAGAACATAAGCGTTGCATCCAAATAC